GTGGACAACGTCAATAATCTCCACCATGGTTTACGAGCTGCTTTTGCCTCTTTCAAAGAAGTATGCGAGTCCTCCCATGCTATTGAATGGAGGAATTGTCCATGGAACGGGAARCTTTTTAATGTGAAAATGAAGTTTGCGATCGCATTTTTCATTGGGGACACAGAGCAGCACDACAAGCTCTGTGGTCATTACACCTCTGCGAACACTAGAATGATATGCAGACATTGCAGCTGTCCCCGTGCCCTTGGAATCAACGCCAAAGTTAAAGTTCTGAACGCATCCGTTATGGAAGAGTTGAAATCACTGGAAGCCCGAACGGGGAAGGATTGCGACACTGACATGTTGACAGAAGAGACAGAGGAATGTCCTCGGTACAAGAGGTTGAAAGAATCACCTAAAGGAGACTGGACGATGTATTTGCCTTCCCTTTGTTTGTGGCGTCCGTCGGATTTCAAAGAGTCATCTGATCCCGAAGGTGTATCCCTAGGTCAACATTATCGTAACATATCTCATCACAACGTCCTACGTGGCAATGCTTTCCACGAACTTGACTTTGGGGCAAACCCGCATAGCATACACCTGGCTTCTCCTGGGGAGAGACTTCACATGCACCAGTTAGGCTGTGCAAAAAGAGCTGCTGAAACCTTCCGTGACGHATTTCTTGGAACTTCAAAGAAACTTCTTGATGGGATGGACTCTCTAGCTAGCTTCTATGGATCCTCACTCCAGAGACAGTCCGATCGTGACTTTCCTCACACCATTTTTTTGGAGTCTATACACACCGCAAAGAAAGAGGGTAACCATTTTAGTGGCATGCTGTTACTGCAGATCCTCTGCTTGTTATCAGATGAAGGTTGCGGGCTACTAATCAACCGTCATATGGAAGACATGATAGACGGTCACATTTATGCATTGGAACTGATACTGGGCATGGAAGAGTTCTTAAAGTGGTCCGGAACCACAAGAAATATATTTGGAATTGTTTCTCCCAACAGCCAAGGGTTATCCAATGATGATTCCGGCCTTCCGGGTCTGGAAGACGTTTTTGAGTACCCCAAAGGTACGTCCGGAGCATCCAACCTGGACAAGATGGTTGTTCATTTCCTTAACATYATCAACAAATACCTGACGCGAACGGATGGGATGGGCAACAACCTTATAAAGAATCACATGTACTTTCATCTTTCCCAATTCATTTGGCTATATGCCCCCCCTTCTGGATGGGACTCCTCCTGGAGTGAGAGTAACCAYAAGACGGAAGTTAAAGCTCCTGCTAAAAGAACTTCTCATACATCTGGAACGTTAATCAAACAAACTGCAAAGCGTCACATTGAATACCGCACAATAGATTGGCTACACCTTGAATTTGATTATTATGACAGTGTAAGGAAATCCCGTAATCCTAAACCGAATGGTGGCTCTACGTTTACAATTGGGAAAAGCGATGACACGTGTTTGCCGTTTATGAAATGGAATTCTGTGGACAACCAAAAGAGAAACCTTCCTTGCTTACCDACAGATGTTATTAATTTTTGTGCAAACCACGTTCTCGGTGCTGTCAAAACGAAGAAGTTGACCGGCTTCACTGAACACAAAAGAATTGACTCGGCAACGAACGAAACACTGCTATTCTGTGCACACCCCTCTTTCAAATCTGATTCTGGACAAGAATGCAACGTATGGTACGACTGGGCGTATTTCCTTGTACATCTCCCTAACAAAAGGGGTGTTTACCCGGTCGACAATGATGGTAATCCTGTTATGAAGCGCTATCCATGCCAGATACTATGTTTTCTTGACATCGACCAACCAACTGGTACTCACTCGGTGAGGGGCTTTGATGTCCACGACGCAGGTTTCTACGCTGTCGTTCGATGCTTTTTGGAAGAGCAAGACATAGAAAGCCGCCGAAAGTATGCAAACCGGAAACCTCATTCATTTGTGAAGAAGGGCACGTTGCGCTCCGGGTTGTACGTGTTTCCTTGCTCAAGCATTTACTCTGAAGCTGCTGTCGTCCGTAATGCTGGATCGAAGGACGAATTTTTTGTCGTTCATAGCAGGGACCAGTGGCTTACTAACTTCAACRACATCATGAGTGCCATRGAATCGGTTAGCTTAACAGATATTATAGCAGAGAATTGCGTCGAGAGTGCCTGATTACGGGCTACATTTTCCCCAGGACCGAGTATGGCAGGGAATCCAAGAACGCTGTTCTTAGTTTTTGGTGTTGGTTTTGTTTCATGTAACAATGGCGTAGTTATTGATATGATTTGTATATTTGTACGAAATATAATTATTAGTTATTAGTGTGAACAATTGAATATCTTAGGGCACATTGTTCAATAGGTTTTCCCTCGCAAACTCAACAAAGAATTTATGGGAGCACCAGGGGAGTGCATCAATGTCCTGATCTACTGCTGTTTTGCAAACAATGTATTCTCCTCTCATCTCCTCGGATGCTGCTTATATTGCCTCCCAATCCTGCGACACTGCTGAAGTAACTACTTCCACGTTGCCCCTCAGCTCAACTGATGCAAAGTGTAGTGCCCTTCCACATTGCTGAACAGCCGCAGTCACTACTTGCTTGTTATTCTTAAGTTCATTTGATGCAAATTTAAGTGCACAACCACACTGGGACACAGCTGCTGTCACAACTTGCAGGTTGCCCTTCAGCTCAACTGTTGCCCATCCAAGTTGAACCCCGCACAGTGATACTGCGGCAGTAACTACTTTCACATTGCCCTTCAGTCTATCTGATGCAAACTGTAGTGCATTTCCGTCCTGTTGAACAGTGGCAGTCACTACTTCCAGATT